GTCAGCCAGTACAGACAAGGCCTACAATCCTCAAATACGCCTGATGTTGCTGATGAGTCGTACCGAATTCTCGGAACTGGCCGACATCGCCACCCTAGCCCTGCAGATCGACAATGAACTCCACGGCCTAGCACCCACTGAGACGGCCAAGACCCCGGACCCCAACGCGATGGACTTGTCAGTCATGCGTGGCCGCCTTTCGGACGCGGAGAAGACCAGGATGATGCGAGCGGGCCAGTGCTTCCGATGCGGGAACCAAGGCCACATCTCGAGGGATTGCCCGGACCGTGGACAGAAGGGGAAAGGGAAGGAGAAGTCCCGGATCGCCGAACTCGAAGAAGAGGTCAAACAGTTGAAGGCAGGAGGCAGTAGAGCGGAGTTGTCAAAAAATGGAGGAGCTCAGGAATGAAGGATGTGCCTATCCTGAGCAGTGGAGAGTTGTTTGTTGTTAGCATTGGCGCCAGTGAAATTTTTTCAAGAAATCAAATTGATCCGCGTTTATTTATTTCTTTGCCCATCGTGTCACCCAAACATTCTCGAGCCACAACCCCATTGCCACTCCCTCCAGCTACTTTTCTCATTGACTCTGGAGCAACCCATGACGTGATTGGCGAGTCTTATGCCAAGTCTACGGGACTCCTTGATATTGCCAGACCCTCTCATCGTACCATCTCTGGTTTCGACGGTTCCTCAAGCCGTTCTTCATTTGATATCCACCTGACTCTCGACACCGACCCATCTCCTTCCCCATTCATCATCACTCGCCTGAAAGACTCTTACGACGGGATCCTCGGAATGCCTTGGATCCGTAAGCATGGACACCTCATTGATTGGACTGACCGGAAATTCAGGAAAACCCCACAGGATTTTGCAGCTGTCGATGCAGCTTCGTCAATTCCGAAAAAACCCTCACCTTTTGGCGTGGAGCCCGTGAGGCAAGCTAGGATTTTTGACGAGGGGGTGTGTGTCTCTGACACGTTTACACCCCCGCAATGTGAGTTCGCTGCGGTCCCTTCCAAAATTCCTATTGAAACAGCTGGCAAGCCTCTTCCCTTCCTAGGACATAGCACCACCGACCGGATCCCAACCACCGAAGACAGGACCATTGCAACTGCCGAGCCAGTTTTGCCAATTCCGACAAAGGCCTCATCTATTGGCGTGGAGCCCATGAGGCAAGCTAGGATTTTTGGCAAGGGGGTGTGTGTTTCTGACACGTTAACACCCCCGCAATGTGAGTTCGCTGCGGTCCCTTCCATAAATTCTGTTGAAACAGCTGGCAAGCCTCTTCCTCTCCTAGAACCTGTTCCAACCGCAGATGTCAGCGCCGCCAAAGCCTCTTGGTCAACATCAGCTCAACTCGCGGCGGACAGCAAGGCCAAGACCCCTGTGAAGACGGCAGAAGAACTAGTCCCGACCCACTATCACCGGTATATCAACATGTTCCGCAAGTCCAGTGCCCAGAAACTGCCGCCCAGAAGAATCTACGACTTTCGAGTAGACCTTGTGCCGGGAGCCCTTCCCCAAGCAAGTAGGATTATTCCCCTGTCACCCGCCGAAAACCAAGCACTCGACACCCTGATCACTGAAGGACTAGAAAACGGCACCATCAGACGAACCACTTTGCCCTGGGCAGCACCAGTGCTGTTCACCGGGAAGAAAGACGGCAACTTACGGCCATGTTTTGACTACCGGAAGCTCAATGCGGTTACAGTGAAGAACAAGTACCCCCTACCTCTGACGATGGACCTGGTTGATAGCCTACTTGACGCCAACACTTTCACCAAGCTCGACCTGAGAAACGCCTACGGAAATCTACGTGTAGCGGAGGGTGACGAGGAGAAGCTGGCTTTTGTCTGTCGACAAGGACAATTTGCACCGTTGACTATGCCATTTGGACCAACAGGAGCACCAGGCTACTTTCAATATTTCATGCAAGACATCCTGTTGGGACGGATTGGGAAGGACACGGCAGCTTACCTGGACGACATCATGATCTACACGCAGAAGGGAACCGACCACCAAGCGGCTGTCATGGGAGTATTGGAGACACTTAGCAAGCATCAACTTTGGCTGAAACCGGAAAAATGTGAATTCTCTCGACCAGAAGTGGAATACTTAGGACTTTTAATATCATGTAACCGGCTGAGGATGGACCCGACTAAAGTCAAAGCTGTATCCGAATGGCCACCACCCAAGAACGTGACCGAACTACAGCGTTTTATCGGCTTCTCAAACTTCTACAGGCGATTCATTGACCACTTTTCAGGAATAGCTCGACCTCTCCACGACTTGACCAAGGACAAAACTCCCTACGTCTGGGACGACCGTTGCAATAAGGCCTTCGAAACTCTGAAAACTGCGTTCACCACGGCGCCAGTACTGAAGATAGCCAACCCGTACAGGCCTTTTGTCCTTGAATGTGATTGCTCAGACTTTGCACTCGGTGCCGTCTTATCCCAAATCTGCGACAAGGATCAAGAACTCCACCCGGTGGCGTATTTGTCACGGTCACTGGTCCAATCCGAAAAGAACTATGAGATTTTTGACAAGGAATTGCTGGCAATTGTGGCGTCTTTCAAGGAATGGCGTCACTATCTAGAGGGCAACCCAAATCGACTACAAGCAATTGTCTACACCGACCACCGGAACCTTGAAAGCTTCATGACAACCAAGCAACTGACACGGAGGCAAGCACGATGGGCCGAAACCATGGGATGCTTCGACTTTGAGATTGTTTTCCGACCGGGCCGACAGTCATCCAAACCGGATGCACTGTCAAGACGACCCGACCTGGCACCTGCGAAGGAGGACAAGCTCACCTTTGGACAACTTTTGCGACCCGAGAACATCACCCCCGACACTTTTGCTGAAGTGGCTGAATTTGACTGCTGGTTTGAAGACGAGTCTGTGGATCTGGATGACGCCGAACATTGGTTTCAAGTGGACATTCTTGGTGTAGAGGAGCCCGACACTCCGTCAGAGGATATCCCAACAGACAGCGAACTGATAAGCCAAATCCGATCTCTGACTCCATCTGATTCCAGACTGACCGAATTGATTTCAGCCTGTGAGAACCCAGTGTCCAGTCGAATGAAGGAGGCCACCAAGCACTACTCGGTAAAGGACGGAGTGCTCTACAGGAGCGGACGGATTGAAGTGCCCCGGAATGAAGACCTCAAGTCCAAAATTCTGAGGAGCCGCCATGACAGCAAGTTAGCAGGACACCCAGGAAGATCAAAAACGCTTTCACTGATACGCCGCAGCTTCACGTGGCCATCCATGAAAAGCTTTGTCAACCGCTACGTGGATGGCTGCGACTCTTGCCTTCGGGTCAAATCCTCAACCCAGAAACCATTTGGGACGTTGGAACCGTTGCCCATCCCCGCAGGCCCATGGACGGACATTAGCTACGATTTGATAACAGACCTCCCCCTATCCAACAATTGCGACAGTATCCTCACTGTGATTGACAGACTGACTAAAATGGCCCACTTCCTTCCTTGCAACAAGTCCATGAACTCCGAACAGCTTGCAGATCTTATGTTGAAACAGGTTTGGAAACTCCACGGCACCCCAAAGACAATTGTCTCGGACAGAGGAAGTATTTTTATCTCTCAGATCACACAAGAGTTAGACAAGCAACTTGGAATCCGGCTTCATCCTTCGACTGCGTACCACCCCAGGACTGATGGACAATCTGAAATCGCAAATAAGGCGGTGGAGCAATACCTACGGCACTTTGTTCAGTACCGACAAGACAACTGGGAACCGCTCTTGGCAACGGCAGAATTTGCTTACAACAATAATGATCACGTCTCAATTGGAGTCTCACCATTCAAGGCAAACTACGGCTTCAATCCTTCCTACGGCGGTATCCCATCAAATGAACAGTGTCTGCCGGTAGTTGAAGAACGACTCAAGCAAATTGACGAAGTCCAGTCAGAACTCAAATTATGTCTAGAAGCAGCTCAAGAATCGATGAAGACCCAATTCGACAAAGGAGTGAAGGACACCCCAACTTGGAACGTTGGCGAGGAGGTTTGGTTGAACAGCAAGAATATTTCAACAACAAGACCCAGCCCCAAGCTGGACCACCGATGGCTGGGACCATTCCAAATTTCTAAGAAAATATCCCAATCTGCGTACAAGCTGACTTTGCCATTATCCATGCAGGGTGTTCACCCGGTGTTTCATGTTTCAGTACTGCAGAAGCACAACCCGGACACTATCACTGGAAGGCGCCATTCATCACCAGAACCAGTGCAGGTCAACAATGAGGAGGAGTGGGAAGTGGAAGGCGTACTGGACTGTCGGAGAAGAGGGAAGAAGGTCGAATACTTGGTCAGCTGGAAAGGCTTTGGACCGGAGGAGAACTCGTGGGAACCCGAGGTCAACTTGGAACACTGTCGAGAACTGGTCGCCGAATTCAACATCAAGTTTCCGGATGCGGCGTCAAGACACAAGAGGTCATGGAGAATGAAGTGAGAGGGCAAGCTTTTTCCCACTGGGTTTTTTTAACGCTGCCCGGGGAAAGAATGCAGAGCCAAAAGAGGAGGAATTTTTTGTTTTATTTTATTTTTTATCCATAGTTAAATTTTTTCTAGAACAACAACGGGGGCGGCTTGGGCATTAAAGGGGGGATAGTGTTATGAGCTGTGGAGGACTGGAACTGGGGACGTTACATATGTAGAGAGCCTGTTACGTACATGTCACGAACTTCGAACTTGGAGTTCGTTCGAGATCCGAACCTTGTACATTCCTCATCTTGCAATCTACCATCAAGACTCAGAACCCAGAAGATCCCTCACCTGCTCTCCCCAGAACACCCCTAACAGATTGTCAGACCCTATGGCTTTCTTGCAGCTGCCAGGACTGGGATGATGGTCATGCCCTGTTTGCCTATCAATAGTAATTGGCAGGGAATGGCCAAATCTGAGGAGCCAGATGAGAATGAACTTGTACCTGAACCGGAAATTGTGCCGCTTGATGTCTTTGAGGAGGAAGAGTCGGAAATCAATGACAGCGATGAGGATGCTCTCTGGATGTCTTTCATCAACAATGCTGTTGGTCAGATTTCGTCAGAACCGGATGTGTTGTCTGGTATCAATCCTTTGCCCTCGTTCTGCATCAAAGAAGAAAACATCAATAATGTAACTGCAGATAACTCGGCCTGGTTTCCATTCCTGAATAAATAAGTTAGCACGCTTCCAAATATCAGTATGTTGAATAGAGATAAACAGAACTGACATAAATAAACCAACTCATCCTAGTACTTGATTGCCTCACTGCTGATTGGGTACTTTCATAAACTGATTTCTAGGGATCTTTATCATCAATTCTGACTTGTCTTCACCCTTTGCCACATCAAAAAATCATTTGAGACACTTGCCGATTTTGGATTGCTTGGGGTTTTCATATAAGGATCTGCGGAATCCCTGGGTAGCACCACACCTCAAATTTGTTCCAGACATGGATACAAAATCTACAAGCTTTCCCAATCTGCCAAATGGCTCAAGCACCTTGACTCAGATCTCCAAGTTCAAATGGTGGAAGAAAATAACAAACATTTTTATATATTTGAGCCAGTACAATTGAAGAATTGTGAAATAATTATTCCTGTCTTCTTCCACACTGAAAATGAGAAGCTACACGCCAAATGCTACACCCCAAAAATAAAATCAAACACCAATCATTTCAAACTCGAAATACACATTGCCCACAATATTTCTTTTGATGATCCATGTTTGAAAACCCTCTCCGTCGACAAATTTTCACTGATTTATGAGGAGATTAAGTTGAATGATGGTGCCAAACTATCTGAATGCTGTGGAGACTTTATGATTGGTGAGAATTTATTGCAAAGACTCAAATTTGGAACTGTGTACTAATTTTTTCCTCTATTCCTTGACATGAATGCAGAAGAAGAAAGTGATTCAAAAATCACCTTACCAAATCCATGGCGCAAGAAAGCTAACAAAAAAATCCTCAGACACGTCCCAATCAACTTATACTGTGACAACACATCTGGAAATAAATCTAAAAAATGGAATAAACACATTTGTTACTACTTTACACTTTCTGGCTTGCCACCCAAAATTTCCAATCAGCAATTCAACTGTCATTTTCTTTGCAATTCCAACATTGCTGGCCCTTTGGAACTAGGAGAAATGGTTGTCAAACAGTTAAAGTATATTATTTTTTCCATTTGAATTCTTCCTGCTTGTTTTTTTCTTGGCCATTTGGCTAATGTTTACATTTATTAGGGGGTATCAAATATAACCAAATCCACCATTATTTAATTGACTGGTTTGAAAAACTCCACCCTTTTTTTAAACATGTTGGTTATTCATTTGACCCCTTTTGGGGACCATTGATGCAAAAAAATTTTTTGGGAAAAGTGACTGGTTTTGCATGGTGGATTTCCTATATTTGATACCCCCTATTTTATTTGAATCTAGTGACACAGCCACAAATGGATTCGTGGCATATGATTCCACTCTAGGCCAAGAATTTCATGTTATGACTAGCATTCTGTGTTTTCTAGCTGATTCCACAATGCATGCGGAAATCATCAACACCCACGTTCCTGGAAATTCACTCAATTCTTGCCGATGTTGTACTTTAAACTCTGAAACTTTACTAGCTAGGCAAAAAATACCATATCTTGCCCAATTCACTCAAAAGAAATCAAATGGAGAAAATGTAAATTTTTCACTTATTCATCTATTTGGAAAAAGAGATTCTAATTTTTCTTTCTTAATTTATCTTTTGAAACAGTGCCTCAACCCTCTCCAAATAATGGAGGAAACTAAACAAAACTCTAAAAAACTCTGGACAGAAACAAGGAAAAGTTTGACTCTGGAGAAACTAAGGGTTGAATCTTCAAAGCTAGCTGTTCAAGATCAACTCAATCTAAAATAATCTAAACAAGTATTTGACTTCCAAGCGGAAAAAATTGTGTTAGTGGCAAGGGGAGAAGAATTACCAACACATATGGAGCAGGATATTCCTCAAAAATTGGTGGATATGGAAGACAAAGAGTCCAAAAGGATGTTCAATCCATACTTGGAGTTGAAAGGTTTGGATTGGACAAACCTCAGAAGAAAGAACTTTTGGCCTTATGGAATTGCTTTAACACCAACTCTTTGAATATTCCTTCTATCAGACCCACCAGCATGGTGAAATACTGTTCAAGCTTGATCGGAAAAGATTTTAGAATTATTCTTCAAGCAGCTCCCTTTATATTTTTCCAGTTCATGACCCCATCTCAAATCAACATCTGGTCTTCTCTCTGCCGTCTGGGCTCTTTAATATTCCAAACTCACATTGAAGACATGGAGTTATATATTTACAACTTTAAGAAGCATATTGATATCTTCTTATATCACATCATACAAGATTCCGCTCAATGGGTCAATAAAGCCAAATTTCATATGTTACTTCATCTTCCAGAATCAATCCTCTAATATGGTCCAGCTGCCCTTTTTGCAACAGAAAAATTTGAAAGTTATAATGGTATCCTCAGAAATGCTTCAATTCATTCCAACCGTCAAAGCCCTGGCCAAGATATAGCCACCAATTTCAGCAATTATCATTCTTTTTGTCAAATTATGTCTGGTGGTTTCTTCTTTGACAAAAAACAGAAAAAATTTGTTCAATCTTCCAACCAAGTCACCAATATTTTTTTCCAAAATCCCTTGATCCAGCAAACATTAGTCTATAATCAATCATCATCCCTTCAGACCATCAATTATCCTTATGTTAGAAAGTCTACTCTCCCAGAAAGTGAAAAATTGACAACAACTCAAGAACTGAAGAGCTCTTATCCTGTCCAAAAAATTGAACAAATCTCTGAACTACAGTTGAATGAAAAGAAAGTCATCAAGAAAAATATCTTTATTTTGGTAATTTTCCATTCTCTTTAATTTTTGGCTGGGAAGTTTCTCCTAATGAACTGAAAATTTGATTTATTTATAGTTCAATGTCCTTCAACCTCAAGGAACTGAACATATTGGATCAATTGATTCTATCTGGAGTGTCCAGAAGCCTTCTCATCAAGCAAATTACTTTGTTCACACAACTGTGTTTCAAAAGATGGAGGAAAATTTATTTTATAGAATGAGAGGGATACAGAGAACTCCCCATTCAGTCTTTGTCAACACACAAGTAAGATTTTCTCAATGGTCTGTTTGATCAACCATAATTGTTTATATAAATGCAACTCTTTTCATTTTACAGAACATCCAATCCGCTTTGAATGTTCAGCATGACTGCCAACGTGGTGAATGTAAGCTCACAGAAACAGAGTTCACAACAGTGGAGCAGCAGAAGAGTACTAAGCACAAGAAACTCAAGTTTGAACACACCAACAATGGACGGTACATCATAAATCTAGCTCCCCTCTTGTCAATCAACGATCATCGGAGATTCTTGCAAGTTTTGATTTTGAGACCTGGACCCCTTTAGTGGGTCAATGCTTTACACGATGGATTGGAGAAATGGAGCACATCTGCTGAGAAGAAACAAAAGCGAGCTAGAAACAAGACATCAACTTCAGCTGCCAAAAAAATAAGACTCAATCCGGATTTATTGGAATAAAAGAATTGGTAACCTGAGCAGCTTTTATGTGTATCTTGCATGTAAATGTATTTTTTATAAGAAGTATGTCTAGGGATCGTAAAGAACCAGGCTCTGAGGAGAATTCAATTTTTAGGACGTTTAGAAGAGGAGCCTTTTGTGGGCCCATTGTTGCCACAATGACTATTATCCACCTCCACCTCCATCTCAATGCTACTGTTCCCCATGGTCATGTTGAGGATGTGTCGGCTTCTTCTGAGCTTTTTGATTGGCCTCAAAGGAGAGTATTTTGTCTATCATGCAGAACAAAAAAAAACTCAATGTTAGTGTATGAAAGGGTGGCAAGGCAATGGCCCAGAGCTGAGAGATGCATACAGGGGATTGTTGGGTTCTTGCCGCCTTGGCACTATTTTGGGGTGGACTCGGAGGCGAAAGCAGTTTCCACCACAATCTCCACCAGGTGCGGCCTGTCGGTCACTGGTTTGGCTTCCGGGATGGGCGGGACCACCCCCTCCGGAGAGGACAACTCCTTCTTTATCACCAAAATTGCCTCCGGTGTGGTGGCTTTGTTTTTGATTGGTTGCATTTTTATGTGATCAATCAGTTGGTTGCTGTAGTGGTGGTTGTGTCACCCCTTGCTATTCTCCAATGCCAGCTCTGAAGGGCAGGTGCTTGCTGGCTTGCCCATCACATTGGTCTGGGGTTGGGCCAACCAGTTACAAGTTGATCACAGCAGATCACACTGTGTGAAGCCACCTCTCTCATGATGGTGGTCTGGGATTGGGCCAACCAGTTGATCACTGTGCATGACAATCATGTCGACCCACCTGATTGAGTCAGGAGAGGTGGCTTGGCATGATTTTCATCCACTGGGATCAACTGGTTGGCCCAGCCCCGCTGTCAGATTCATGAAAAGCAGGTTATGGCCGACCCGCACCAACCCAATCCCAACTGCGCTGTGGGCTTGTTGCGCAGGAATGAAAAATATTGACCTGTGGTATATGCATACCTAGCATGCGCGGGGGCTTGAGTACTGGGCTCAATTGTAGTCCGGCGTGCCTATCAACAGTGCGCAGCATGACTACGCCGCATGCGGGCTTGGAGACAGTACACACCACTCTACACTATCTTCTAAACTATACAAAAAACTCCAAATCTGTGACAAGATTTGGAGTATATGCATTTTATTATGTATAATGCATAATTGTCCAGTGCCCGTGATCTTAAGGGTACCTGTTAATTATTCAAGAGTGTATTACAGGGTGAAGGGAGTGAGAATTAGGGGGTACCTTTGGCTGAGGTACCCTAGGTTAAATTGTATGTAGATTCAGAATCTGAAATAATATTTACAGATTTCTTTCTACATTCTAATTTATTCATTTATTTTATGTATTTTTATATTATTTTACATAAGTAATAGTGTTTCTTTTACTTATGTAATAATTTTACTTTATGCTAGGGGGGATCCAAATATAACCAAATCCACCATTATTTAATTGAATGGTTTGATAAATCCACCCTTCTTTAAACATTTTGGTTCTTCATTTAACCCCTTTTAGGTCCCATTGATGCAAAAAAAAAATTGGGAAAAGCCACTGGTTTCTAAAGGTGGATTTTGTATATTTGACCCCCTACTTAGATTTTTTATGTAATTTATTATTTTATTTGCTTATGACAGGTTGTCTCTGCCATAGTAGCAAGCTGAAAAAAGCCATCATGAAGGTTTTTGGTTTCAAAAGACACAGTGAAGTTTTTCCTTCATGGGGACCCTACCGGCTCTTGGGGTTTCTGCTGGAATGGTGGGGACAATTTCTGACAAGCTTTAGCTTATGGATGAGTATAAATCAGTCAATGTCAGCCGGTGTTGCTAAAGTGACAGTCGGTTAATGATGTGAGAAACGCCAAGCCTTGGTTCTGACAGTGATTTGGTTATTTATCAAGAACTGGCAAGCTTGAGACAGTGATGTGGTGATTTATTTGAAGATGAAGAGGAAAGGTGTGTTTAATATTGTCTCTTCTTGGATTTCTGGGGAGCATAGAAAATGAAGAAGGTACAACTTCTAAAGAGAAAACAATGTAGACAACTCTTTATAAGCATATGATTAAAGTGAATATAAGCATATATAGAAAATAGCTACTGCAGACTGTGTAGTAAATACAATGTTAACTTGTACAAGGTACGTTGGATTTAGTTGCATGGCTGACAAATCCAAACCAGTGCGAAAAATCTTCAGAAATGGGTGGGCCAGATGGGTTTTAAAATATGGCCTAGCCAAATCCCTAATCCTCATGGGCCACGGGGGGACATAGCCTGTAATTCCCTCCCGCAAGCCATTGGATCAACTGCTGGAGGGGACTTAGTTAAGTTAGGTTGAAAACTGGTTTTTTTGTATACTTTTCCATCTAGGCCCTTCCTCATTCATATTTATCATATTTCCTTCGGGGCCTGCTTCTTTTACATACTTCTCACTTTTCAATTTTTTCTATTATGTTATGTTATGTTTTCTTTTTTTTTTTGAAGAAGTTGTTGAAAAGGACAACTTTTAAATTGAAGTTGGCCTCTTTTGGTGTGTTTGAGTTGAGCAAACCCTGCATTTGAGCATAAAAAGATTTAAACCATGATTTCAAAAAAACATCATAAACTCACAAGGGGCTGTCCTGGTTTTGAGCTTTGGATGGATTGACAAGATCATCCAGTGCTTCAAGAAACTCCACTCAAACATCCTCAAAGTTTTGAGGGAGTTTTGTCATTTCAAATCTTGTGATTCTCCCACCAAAACACTAGAAACTCACCGCACAAGTACTTTGCATTTGCAATATGCAATTGAATTTTTGGCACTACAAATTCAATTGCATTTTGCAAATTTGAGGTGACATTGCATGTGACATGTGA